TGTCTTCTAGTAGTACTAACAGATTTAGATCGAATCTGTTTAGTATTAGATCTGACATTTAATACAAACCTAGAGAGATGTTTTTTAAAGTCTTTATTGCTTTTGCCAATTGTCTTTTTTTATGGCATTTCTTCAAGTGAAAATGTACCTTGTAACATTGCAAAAATATCAAGATAATTTTTTTAAATTTTACATACTGTTTTTAAGTGGTAGGTATTTGTTGTGTGTGTGTGTGTGTGTGTGTTTTTAATCATGGATGACTAAATATACATAAGTAAGGGAGTGTTATAATTAACCCTCAATACGCCAATTGCTCAGTGTCATCCCTTGTTAATTAATGGGCTGGGAATTTTGTATAATATAAAATCCACCCACCCACATCTTCCCCAGAGATCACTGGCAAAGTGTGATTTACCAGTGACGTGCAGTAGACGCCCATCTATCACTGAATAGAATTTAAGCCTTAGATTCATTATGTCTGCATAACAATAAAATATAAGGGGAATACACTAAAATAACATAAATAAATGCATGTATTTTATAATATAAATAATATGAACATTAACATAAATATAATAAAATATCACAATAACACTCACATATTAAATAAGCATGTAGGCATATCTTTTGCCTTGTAAATCTTCTACTATTTGAGGCTATAGTAGTGAGATCATATGCTCTGCCATATTCCTCTATTTTAGGAAGAAATGACATATGTTCCCCAGCTCTTCAAGACTTCAGTTTATTCTCAATTTCTCATTATCTCTATAAAATTTTACTACTTTCATAATAAGCTTAAAACTTGCTCTTTGTAAACCATATTGCTGTGAAATATGAAATGAAAATATAAAGAATTATTAAATCCTGAAAAGAAACAAGTTAAAAACTAGCACTAATTGAAAGTCAATTCTCTCTGTCTCTCGGTCTCTGACTCTCTCTCTCTCTCATACACACACACACACACACACACACACACACACACACACACAAAATTTTGAGTATTTGGGGGTTAAGGGAGTGCAAAAAAACTATTCCTATATTTTATCAGGAAGTTGAACTGATTTGGAAAACTCAATGGAATGTTGTGTAATCAAAAGTAAAAATGACAAGCATACAAACAGAAAACTGGTTCCAAGAAGGACAAACTTGTTTTTCAACACTAGCTGAGTAGTCCAGCCCAGATATGCTGAGCAAATGCCTAGTTTGGTCTCTGCTTTGGTGGCTGAGCACTATCCTCATAGGAAGTGATATTGGCATCATCAGTTCTCTTGCCAGTGCTGCATAACCTCACTTTGACTTGACAACTGCTGGGCTAATAACACAGGTCTCCCAGTGGCATGGGAGTGTAAGATCTTCCCATGAACCACTGCATAAAAACAAGTTTTGTCATTTCCCTCAAAAAGCCAAACACACATGCCCACACACATACATGTGTGAGCATACACACATACCCCATTGAGTTTTGCCAAAAACACTTTTTCAGATTTTGCATTTGCATGTATATGAAAAATGCTTGAAAATTACAACTCAAAAATTTCTTTTGCAACTCTTTTAGTAGAACTGATAGCAAGGATGAAGTATCTTGGTTTATCTTCACCACTCAATCATGTAATTTTCACAGATCCACTGCTTTAAGCAAGCAGTTTCTCAGTAGCTTCAGGGAGTCAGAACTATTTTCCCTTTTGGATGATAAAATATATATTTTATCAGAAAATAAAGAAAGTTTTAAAAGAAATGAATTAATATTTAATAAAACAATAGACTCTACAATAATACATTCTTAATATGGAACTTTGGATACAAAGGAGTGGGCAATCAGCTCTAGGACACACAGAATGTCTGGCTGATCCTTCCTGCTCATTTCATCGGCCATATAATCATATAATTCTTAACATTTTACATTTTTTATGCTCAATTTAGAATATGATGCCAGAGATTTCTAGACATTTCTATTTGCTGCTCGCTAATAGTAATCATTATGTAGTTTGACATCCTATGCTCTTCTCTTTAGGGTCCTCACCACTATCATTTTTTCCACATACACTATTACAACCTAGAAAGGGAAAGATTTTCACTAAAATTCCATGTAACCCAGCCTGACCTCCCTAGATGATGCCCTACCTTTAAGTTTCCTTAATCTTCTTTTAAGCTTACCTACCACCTCATTTTCTAGGGTACCATATTCAGCTTACTATTACACAGGGAAGATCTAGAAATCTTTTACTTTAAGTTTCTAATAGCTGAGAGGAATTAGATTTTTACCCCATATACACAAGCCCTAGAAGATTTGCATTTTAATAGGGGACAATTCTTTCATAACTCAAAGGAATGGCATGGTTCTAACGGTAGAATTTTAAGCAACACTGACACCAGTGGAGGAAATATTTGAGGTAAGAATGCCTGTCCCAAACCATAACACTTGAGATGATTGTCTTTTCCATGGAAACTTAAGCCCAACTTGAATAAAAGCCAATATTCATGTTTGAACAAGAATAGAAAGAGAACAAAATTTAAAGCAAAAATCAAAACTGTTAAATAGTTGAATAACCTTATTTCTTAATGAAATGCATTATTCTCTCTCAGCTTCTTATCCTTGCAAAGTGGTGGTGTTGTTACTACGTAGCTCTTCTCAAGTTCATTGTATCTTCACCAAGGTGGCCCTCACCTTGATTAAACTTTAATAGGCTTCTTTCTGACCTTTGGCAGCTCCTGATCTCCCTTTTCTTAGAGCATTTACTTTTGAAAACTGGAAAACTTGTTATTGGAAATTCTTTCTCTGCTCTTTTGAGATATAAATCTTTTTTTTTTTTCTTTCAGTGGAGGGTGGTGTGAGGAGACAGGGTCTCCCTCTGCCAGCCAGGCCGGAGAGCAGTAGTGCAGTTATGGTGCTCACTACAGCCTCAACCTCCTGGGCTTAAGCGATGCTGCTGTCTTGGCCTCTCAAGTAACTGGGACTTTTACAAGCCACTTTCCAGTTTTACAGCCCATAAAACCTTTCTCAAGGAACTGGGAGCCATCCCTTTGAAATGTACTCATCAAGAGAGAGATAGTGCCCCATCTTTCCCAGTTTCCATGGAAGGATAGAAGCCTAACTTCCTTGGGCTCCTTGCTCTGCATTATGAATCTACTTCCTATCATGGAGATGTAAGACTGAAAGTTTATGTTTTTGGGGGGAAAGACCAATATGCAAATACAGATGTCCTGTGATTCCCCATACCAGCCGTTACAAACACTCCTGCATTTTGTTTTAGTGGAATTGAGTTCGGACGCAGTTCCAATCTCTCTCTCCTATTGCAATAGCCTTGAATAACGTCTTCTTTGCCTGTTTAACTTTGTCTAATACAAGTTTTGCTTTGACCTTCACTTCTTGGGTAGATATAAGTAGGTGTATATAATTTGTGTATGTTGCATGAGGAGTCTTTCATGAAGCAAACGTCCTGAGCACAATCCATCTAAGAAAACAAAGAAAGTGTGATACCTTTTTTTTCCACATCAACGGCAGTTTCCTTCTCACTTTTCTTTTTGACATCTTCTTTTTCTGGTGGTAAAATAAGAAAATTATAAGTCTTTACCTGTTTAACTTGCATATATTTCAGAGCATGCATGGCTACCATTGAGGCATCCAATTCATCTTGTATAGAGGAATCCTAAATCAACCATAAGTCATGTCAAATATGAGTAAGGTAGCACATTCATAACAGACTAGTTAATTTAGGTATAATTTCTCTTCAGGAAACAGATTTTTTTTTCCAAAGGCAAAAATTATTTAATAACAGTGAAAACATTAAATGGCATTATTAATTATAGTATTATTTAACAGCTTTCATAACATATATTAAAAATAATTTATTGAATTTTCTCTGAGCTATAAGGTCACAAGAAGCATGTCAAAAGTTCTGAAATCTCTGAAGTTTACTTAGGATATCAGATGAATTATTTGAAAATAACCAGTTAAAAAATATATATATATATTTAAAACAAACCAGTCAAATATTTTCTGCCTTCTACATAAAATGACTTGATCTCCTTTTGGTAAACTTTTAAAATTAAACTGAATTAGTTAAATAATAACCGTCATATTCACACATGTAGTTAAGTAAAGTAGTGAATTAGAGAGAACTGAGCAACTGCTCTAAAGAAAGGAAAAATAATCACAGTAGTAATTTTCAAAAAGTGTTTAGGCTTAAATTCTCTTTTTAAAAATTGACAATTTTAATTTTATTTGGAATACTTAGACATGTTAAGAGTGTTCATTAATAACAATGATAATACATTTATTAAGGAAATTTCTTTCCTAGAAAATAATACATTTACCAGTAGTATTATGCATAGATACTAATTGATTTATTTGGTACACAGCTTTTAAATTTCCTACCTTTCTTTTTTGTTTCAGAAGTAGCTTTCTTCTCGGCCTTCTTCTTTTCCCCTTCTTTTTCTAGAGAAGAAATGTTTCCTTTAGGGAAATTTAGTATGAAAGCAAAACCAAGGTTGAAATGAAGGATTTTTGTTCAGTTGGTTCTGCCTCCAGCTAGCTTGGTGACTGAGCAAGCAATTTAATCTCACTAAACCTTATTTTCCTCATTTGTAAAATAATAATATCTCCCTCAAAGTTAACGTTTACAGAACACTCTGTACAGTGCCTGGCTCACAGTAAATGCATAATATTGTACTGCTAATACTGTTTACACGTAAGGAACAAGATAGTTTGAACTTTCTGAACTAAACAGTTGTTTAGTGCCTAAAAGTATTGATATATACAATTAAAATATATTTCTTGGAAAATATACCACAGATAAACTAAAAGAATTTCTTTCTTTTCATACATTCAATTTCATTAGAAATAATATATTAGGCCATTAAAAACATATCTATTTTGAGGTGGCTGTTTTTTATATCTGGCTCTTGTCAACAGGCATTTAAGCCTGGTGACAAGTGTCTGGCAGTGCATTGGAGACATAACTTTCACTGTCCTTTCTGAGTGGCTGTATCAACAAGGGTGTTCAATCTTTGCGCCCAGAGGTTGCAATAAGTCTGAATCCCACATCAAACTGTTTGTGGTACCTCTAAACTTCATGGAGGAGCCATGTTTCATAAATCTGAGAAAGCCTTGGTCTGAGGGGGGCAAAGACAGAAAACCTCACACCCTGCCCATGCATAGCCACTTTGCAGTTGGACATCCCCAGACACTTTTCTGGTAAGCATAGTTACTTCAAATAATGAAGTCTTGCACTAATACATAGTTGTTGAAATAGAACGTTCCGTGGTTTTAGATTTGAGGCAATGATAGCTATGGTTCATGTTGTAAATTTACTGATTTTTATATTTAATTGAGTGTTATTTACCTTATATTTGAAATATCTTTCTCTTTGTTAGTTGTCTCTCATCTCAGGTACAGGTACCTTCAATGACTTCCATTACCCAGAACTATTGTAAGATTATTATTATGCTAAAGAAATTCAATATGTAGTTCTAGAATGAATGCGTAAGTTGTCTCCTAGTGACTGCATCTTATTAAATATAGGAATTAACTAGTTCCCTTAGGTATAGAGCTTTTTCTACCTAGAAGATCAAAGACAACACTTTCTTTCAATGTTAGAAGTAAAATTTATAGAGAACCCTTTCATGACTTCTAGAGATAATCTAATGTCGCAGAGAAAAATGTATTCACACTTTGTCTAAATGTGTGTAGAGCATGCTATTACAACTCATCCAATCAGAAGTAGAAAGTCAAGAAGTCAAATTTTGATACCTCCAGACATAGAAATAAACCAATCGAATTCCACTTTTCCTTTTCCTAAAGGTTCATGCATATTAAACATGTGAATCATATGTAAAATTCTGAATAAAGATGCTTTTAAGTATCACTACATTCAGCTTCTCTGGGAGAAATTTTGTGTAGTGGTAAATTTTACATAATCTCTAGATAAACGCATATGCCAGATAATTGAATGGACATTTGCTAAGCATCACCTTTGATGGCATGTGTCAGAAAAAGGGTTAATTAAAATACAGATGACTTTAAAATATTTCTAAGCTCATGCTAAAAGCCAATGCCATAATCACCATAAGATCAGAACTCAGTATCCAAGTCTTCATATTTTATAAGGTTGATGAATAAATGTTTCATTAAAAAGCTTGTGCCAATTAGTCAATTTTACACTGAACTTCACAAAGAAAGTAGATATCTGAACCCAGAAGATGGAAGGCATTCATTTCTTTTTCTATTTTTTTTTTTAAAGAGAATGCCCTTGTGCAATAAATTCTACCCTTCAAATTAATATATCTGGAATTTTATTGTGGTGATACAGTATTCTTGTCTTAGTCCAAATTGAATTAAGACTCCCATTATACACTTTGCTTGTGATTACAGTCATATACTGTGAGAGTCATGAATAAGAGCAGAAGTCCACAAAAAGCAGATGTAAATATTATCCTTTAATAACATTTTTATGAATGAGACCTTTAAGCTGTCATTATGAGACTGAGACTTACTTTATTCATGGTGAATTTCATTTAAAATGTCAACTTCCAAAGATTCTACATTTCTTCAAGCACTATTGTCACTATTGTCTCTGTTCTATAGGTGATTTGGCAATAATGGAGTTAATTTTTCATTTATAAAAACATAACAATTTAATTATGTCCTACTTGGATATATAAATAACCCGTTTCTTTTATGAAAACTTCCCTGTCCCTGACTTTTTCTTCCTCAGCAGCCAACAGTACTCTTCCCTTTCTGTCTATCTGACTTTGAATCCACATAACAAAATTCCTCTCCATCTCTTTCTCATTGGTTTCCTGGGTTTTTTTTTTCAACAGCTAGAGAAGAATTAGAGCATTTAAGCCTATTGATATTCAGAAAGTTAACAATTAAATGTGGATGTGAAAGTATCCGAATATTACCTTTCCCCGACAAAAGTATAATAAGCCCTGAAATGATGGCTGCATTCTGTCAGGGATCACAGGAGAATCTGGTTGGGAAAGAAATCTTCCCTACAATGAGCAGCTCTGAGCCACAGATATGTTATTAGCTTCTGCATAAATTAACGTCACATGAAAGAAAAATAAAACGACTTACTTTTTACTTTCTAAGCCCTCACAATGGGCTTTTCTCCTGCTTTTAAATGTTTTTAAGCCATCTCAAAGCCAGACAATGCACAATAGTTAATTACAATTGTAAAGCTTTCTAAGATGCACGTTACATGAAGAAACAAATGCAAAATGTTTTATTTTTGTCTTACGGTTTGTTCCTCCCCTCTTTGCCCTTCTAATATAGAGATTATCCTAATTCTGCATGTCAGAGGGGTGCTTTTATTCTAACACTCTGGCCAGAATTGATGTATTCCTGGTTCCAGTTAAGTAAACAAGAACTTGTTTCTTTCATAACAAGGCGTTCAAACATATCTCATCACTGTCACCTTGTTTTCTTAGAGTGGCAGAGATTGGCCTGGAACCCAACTCACATTATGACCATGGAAAATTTTACATAAGCTTAAAATAAGTTCAACTACATGAGTGATTATTAGAGTTCTTCCACTGTTATCTACAGAGGGGTGTGGAGTACAAGAGAAAGCACAGGTGTTGGCATTGATGACCTTGGACATCCATTCTGTCCATCACTCTTCCTAGTTGTGTGACCTTGGGCAATGTGCTATGGCACACCGAATTTCATTTTCCTCATTTGAAAAGTGGAGCTAATAAAATCAACTTTGCTTACTTGTGAGAAATGGAGATAACTGAGCTAAAATGCCTGGAACAGAGGGCTGTTGAAAAATAATAGTAATAATGACAAGCTATCACTATATTTTGTTAATAGTAAAAATCTGACCACATATAATCTTATAAGGTAATTTTTTAGGTGTCACCTTTATTGTTTTCTTTAAGTAAATGCAACTTTATTCTTATTTTTCTATATCCAGGGAGTGTAGGTCTAGAATATTTTGTAATGAGAAACTCAAGGGAAAAAATGCCTATAAGCAGGACAGAAATATGTTATAAAGGGTACTGTGCTGAAATTAAGTGGATTCAAGTCTCAGTTTTGCTGTTAGCAGTAGTCACTGCCTTATGCAACTACAGATGAATGCTGTATCTTCTGTCTTCAACCATAAGAGGCAGAGAAATGAGTAGAATGTGTTTAAGTCCCCTTTCACCTGTTTATTCTTTATTTGCCAAGTGAAATAAATGCATCATCTTGCATTTGTTTTCTAATTTTTCTGGGATTAGGTAACTTAAAAAGAGTTGCAAATAGCTATGATATGTTGTCTGGTTTTGATATGGCTAAAAATTGTTTAAAGCAAGAGAAAATGAATATGTACACATATACTATATATATAAGACCAGGTGATGATAATGATTATAAAAAGCAAATAGAAAAGCTTGATTTGGAGAATTAAAGCCTGAGATCGTAGGAGGTAGCGTGGTTTGTTTTAACGGTGGATCAGGGTAAGCCTTTCTGAATGAACAATTGGAAAGATTATTGAAAAAAGTGGAAGCGCTTTGGGCTATTAGGGAGAAGACTTTTCAGCAGAGGAAAAATTTCTGCAGAGACCCTGAAATGAGAGCATGCTACATAAATTCAAAGAAGAACCAGGGCCATTGAGGCCAGAGTTGAGGATTCAGAAGGGGAGTGCTGACTGCTTCGGCCGAGGTGTAGCAGGGCTGATCTCCTAGAATCTTGTTGTTCATGGTATGAATTTTCCATTTCCCTGTGAGTCATATAGGAAACCACTGAGACGTTTAAGAAGAGAAATTATACAATTCTGAGTGATGGTTTATGAAAACCTTTGTCCGTTGCTGGGTGGTATCAAGTGTCTCATTAAATTTTGTGATCAGATTTTAAGGGAGAAGACGTAGGGAAAAAGTAATTCAGAATAAATATTCTTCTTCTATTTTTTTTTTCCAAAAATTTTCTTGGAATTGTATTTGGGACTCTGGAAGGCATGCAACTTTATAGAACATAGTAAGAGTTCCTCCCTTCACATTGTAATTAGGTTGCTATGACAGCAAAGCTTTTTAAATTAAGGACTTCACTTGAGTTATGTGGCATAACTAAGCTGGCCTTTCAGACTCTGAATCTATTTTCTTTGCCTTGACTTTTCTTTAATGATAGCTGAATTATTCTCAGAAGTTCTGTCTTTTCATTATCAGCTGTTAACAACAAACAACTAACAACCAGCTATTCTATAGCACTTTCCATTGACTACACAAGACCTTTACTAATACAACTTATTCACATAAATCAACAAATGCTTATCTAGTCTTCTGCCAAAATCCTTTGCCAGTGTTTGGAGTTTTAAAAACCTCCTCCAGTAATACCAGGTGTGAGAGCGTGAAGTGAGAAAGTTCAGAATTACAATAAGGACTTTGTGAAAGAGTAGAAGTGAAACATGTGGTAGTCAAGAGAGACATGCAACCCTGCTCAGCTGAGTAGAGTGGGAAGCTACTCCTTGGGGATACAACCTCAGTCTGAGTCTAAAAAGAGCCTGAGGGGCCCACGCTGAACTGCACATAGCATGTTATTATCAATGCCAGTTGAAGGAACTGAGGTACAGTCATAGCTCATGTCTTGCAGATACAGTTGAGAATTCAGTGACCTCGTGTAAAGGACTCTAGTTCTCATCTGTTTAAATTCAAACTTCTTCAAGATAAAATACTACAGGCAGTGATCCAAAACTGTGGCCACTACACTGCAGTCTGGGCGACGGAGCGAGATCTGTTTCAAAAAAAAAAAAAAAAAAATGGCGATTGTGAATTTTAGCTGTAGATCAACTACAGGAACAAACCAGCAATCCTGAGAGGACCTGCAGACCCTCTGAAGGAAGTGGATCGCTTCTGCAGGGCCCAAGAGACACCCCAAATACTGAGAGTGCCCCAACTGTGGAAGTGGGAAAGAAAGACCCTCCTCTCTCGAACACACACCTCCACTGTAGAAACTGAAGGTCTTTTTGCATGAGAACTTTCTGAATTTACCTGGAGCTGAGTCAATTTAGAGAGCTGAGCAAAATTAAGGGGTAGAGGAAGCAGCAGAAAGGCCCTGGGAGCTTTCTGGTCCCCTAGCAGGCCATTCCTGCCTGGCACCACAGGGATCCATCAGGAGGGTGATCAGAGGAGCAGGGGGTAAAACCACAAGGAGAAGGAATTCTCTAGTTGAACTTCGTAACAGTTTGAACAGGGTAAGAAGCCTCCTGGCCCAGA